GCTCCTTGGAAACCCTATACAGGGTCGCTGTGGGTCTGAATTGACTCGATGGCACTTAACAACAGCAACAACAACATATATACATATATATAGTTTTCGTCAAGTGCTATCAAGTCAGTTCGACTCAACAGTGACCCTGTATAGGGTTTCCTAGGAGCAGATGGAACCTTGCAGTTCAAATTGACCTTGCAGTCTAGCACATTAACCTGCAGCACCCCAGCAGGACTCTCTCTCTCTCTCTGTTGTTGTTGTTAAGTGTTGTGGAGTCAGTTCAGATGCAAATCAGCCGTATATAGGTCACTCGCCTCCCTGGTGAATTTGAACTGCTGACCTTGTGGTTCAAATTGATCTTGTGGTCCAGTGCTTATCCTACAGTGCCACATCAGGACACCAAATAGCCAACATTATTTTCAACAAGAAAGGTTGATAGCCTTCCCCTTAAGAACAGGAATGAGATGAGGATACCCATTATCACCACTCTTATTCAGCATTACAGTAGAAGTCCTAGCCAGAGCAATAAGGTAAGAAAGAAAGAAAAGATATCCAAATCAGTAAGGAAGAAATAAAACCTTCCCTACTTGCAGATGACATAATTTTATACATAAAACACCCTCTAAAGATTGCACACATACACACAGAAAAAACCCCACTGCTGAACTAATAAATAATGTAGCAATGTTGCAGGATACAAGATTAATACACAAAAAGCAGTTGGGTTCCTCTAACCAAAGACTACTCTGAAAAAAAAATCAAGAAAACAATACTATTTAGAATGGCCTCCAAACCAATGAAATACCTAGCAATTAACCAAACCAGGGACATAAATGATTTATACAATGGAAACTATAAAACGAGAATATAATAGATATACAAAGATAGAAATATACCCTATGCTCATGGATTAGAAGACATACCTACTCATCGCTTACAGACTATCTTGTTATCTGGTATCTCACATGTTTACAATAGTAAAAAAATCTACCATCTGATAACTTAACACATTAACAATATATGTTTCAATTTAACGATTGCTGAGGTAAGAGTAACGTTGGCTGTAATGTGTCAACTTGGCTAGGCCATGATTCTCAGGGTCTGGCAGTTATGTAATGATGCTGTCATCTTCATTTTGTAATCTGATGTGATCATCCTCCATTTTCACATAAAGACTAGGTCTTTGGAACCTAACCATGTCAATAAATGCAGAATGGCTATATAGTGAAAATGTTAATTCTACTTTAATTGATACAATGCAATCCCAATCAAATCCCAACAAAATTCTCTACTGAAATGTAGAAACTAATAGTCAACTTTATATGAAAAGGAAAGAAACTCTGAATAGTTAAAGCAATGTTTAAAATTTTGAGGAAAAAGAACAAAGCAGGAGGCCTTAGACTCCCTGATACCAAAGCATACTATACAATCACTGCAATCAGACCCATGCTGTTGTTATAAAGTGCCATTGAGTAGATTGCAACTCAAAGCAACCCTGCATAGAGTTTCCAAGGAGTGGCTGGTGGGTTTGAACTGCTGACCCTGTGGTTAGCAGTGCAGTGTTTATCCTACAGCACCACATCGGGTACTCTCTCTCTCTCTCTGTGCATATATATAATGAATATTTCACATCCTGCAATAAGTTTGGGGAATCTTATATCACCTTCATTTTAAACATCAATAATGACATGATAAATAATAAGAACAAAATCCTAAAAAACAAACAGGTTATTTTACCTGAAGAATAATATCTGGAGGCATTTCATAATTTAAGAACCCTACCCCATGCCAGTACAGTTTTGCCTTATCATTTCTGTAACTCTCTGAAGTCTCAGCTTCAATGATGGAGGCTCCTATAATAAGAAAATAAAAATTTTAAACAAAAAATATAAACTCAGTTCAAAACACATCATTTGGATTTTAATAATATTCTTGGGAAATTATTATTGAATAAATCACAAATGAAATAAGATTCACAATCAGGAATTAAAGAATGGATAGAAAAAGTGTGACTTTCAGTTTTCATTACTACCATAGAAATGTCATTACCTTGAGGGCATAATATCTGCTATGTCTAATTATCGTGAAAGAATACAACCCTGTCACACACCTTTCTTAATTTTGAACCATTCAGTGTTCAACACTGAATGGTTAAAAATGGTTAAATGGTTAAAAAGGTGTGCAACAGGGTTGTATTCTTTCACCATACTTATTCAACCTGTGTGCTGAGCAAATAATCCAAGAAGCTGGGTTATATGAAGAAAAACGTGGCATCAGGATTGGAGGAAGACTCATTAACAACCTGTGATATGCAGATGATACAATCTTGCTTATTGAAAG